TGCCCCTGGAACGTGGTACCCCTCACGAAAACCCGGGTTTCGGCCATTTCGTTTGGGATTATTATCTTTTAATCGGCCACCTGACTTGCGCCGGAATGGTTCGCCGTGTTTATTCCACGTTGTTTCAAGACGCCGAATTTTCGTCTTTTCCGTTTTATGTTCAGCTTTGACAGAAAGATATGCCAAAGACTAGCAAAAGATACAATCTAACATGCATTAAGAAGAAAATGAAATAAACGAGTACACCGTCCAAGCCGCGGGTGCTATGCAACCAACAATAGTGCATTTTAACGATACTGGTTTCTCGGGTCTTACAAATATGTTGAGGGGCCGGTGGACCGAATGCCAGCGTAAATTACAGATATAACATGACACACACACACACACACCACACACACACACACACACAAAAGAGAAGAGAGAGAGAGAGAGAGAGAGAGAGAGAGAGAAGAGAGAGAGAGAGAGAGAGAGAGAGAGGAGAGAGAGAGAAGAGAGAGAGAGAGAGAGAGAGAGAGAGGAGAGAGAGAGAGAGGAGAGAGAGAGAGAGAGAGAGAGAGAGAGAGAGAGAGAGAGAGATATATATATATATATATATATATATATATATATATATATATATATATATATATATATATTGACATGACATATATGATATGACATATATAGGTTAACCTTGGGGAAGCTCATCATCTCTAGAATCTATCGGCGAAAGCTTATATAAAATAGTTTTAGTCATCCGCGCTTGCAGTCTAGAAGAAATAACACCGGCGTCCGGGGGTGCAGTCTCCGCGGCCCACGACGCGTCAGCCTCGCAGCTAACACCAAGGAAGGTCTACGGGCGGGAAAGAACGACCATGTGTCGCATAGTGGCACTTTCGAACGCTTTATAAAACTAATTGGTTTGCGCGTAGAAGGTATCTCGAGCCATAGGTTTCACTTGTGCGATATTCACATTGACGCTCGGGACGGATTAGCGCGCACAGCAATGCAAACTCATGGCGCAAGGGAATAATGGTTCATGTTGTTGTAGCCGCTAGTCCCGTCTAAAGAATCAACTTCGACATTGCACAGGTTAAGTTTCTGGCCAGGAGCTGAAGGGCATTCCGCCCCAGCCCAGCGGGTGCCGTTCTGGCGATACGGGGACAGAGCCCTCCAGATCGATACGGAGGTCCTCTGTTGGACGTCTGGCACTGGATCGATGCAGGGGCTCTCACTGTTTCAAAAGGATTTCTTCCAGTCGCAGGAGAGTCAAATAATTGGCACAGAGACACCAATTCAGTTAATGGTCGGCTTGAAACGGTGCTTGGGACCCCTCGTTTGGCGCTGGGGCCTCTGACTGACACAGGGCCTTCCACTGCTTTACTGTAAATGTGAGCCCTTGCGTCGCCACTCCTCTTATTTCCTCTTATTGCCAGGAAGGCCCAAACAACGCAAGAGGCCGTTTGACATCCGCGGTTTCATCCCTGCCCCTAATCAGTAAATACGCCCCTTGCCAACCTAGGGCTCATTGCCGACACGGCATCCCCAGTTTGGCGCTGTCGGCCTCTGACCAGCACAAGGGCCCTTCACTATTTCAGGGGCCCTGACTTATGCAAGAGACCTTCCGACTAACATGTTCAGGTTTAGCCCTGCCTCTGCATGTGAACAGGACCCTGTAGGCGGCAAACTGGAATGTAACCGACCCATTTAGACCGTTCGGTACTAGCAGTGCTAACCAGCTGTCTGGCAGGCAGCTGATTAACAACACTAGTACCCGTGGTAGAGGCCGCCACTGTCTTATGGGGCCCCGATCGGTGTTGCCCTTCACGCTCTCCAATCCGGCCCTTGAACGTCGGACCCGGGTGGGTCTATTGTGGTTGCTTGGAATTCGTCGCCTCTTTAGAACGTTTTTGGATCCCTCTGAGGTGCCCCTCTGGAATGGATGCCTCTTGAAGATAAAGGTCATGACGCCCGAGAGAGAGATTTCTGATGCCCCTCCACCAAATAGGCCGATCCAGGATTAATCAGGGTTGAAGGCAAAGGAATTGTGGTGACCTCTAGTTTTGGTGTCCCTTAAAATGAGAGTTTTGGGGATCTCTCTCTCTCTCTATGGCCCGCCTAAATTAAGAGGCCCAGGAAGCCAGTGCTATGGTGTCTGCAATGTCCGGTGGAGTTTGTTTTTGCTTGGTTTTGCTTTGTGCTCTGGCTTGAAGTCTTTCCACAGCAGACGCAAACGTTTTGAAGTCAAATGACATTCTGTCCAATCTTACTCGACGGCAGACTATCATTTCTTCCGATGTTATTTTACTCCCAGCTGAACAATGCAAAAAAACCTGGATGCAACAGAGGTTGTTTTGTCCTCGCTAAAATGCCAACAGATCTGTCCATCACGGGCTTCTGTTGCCTCACCCCTGAAGAGAGCGTCGCGACGTGGCCGTCATTGCATCTGCAACGCATCGTGAACATCTAGCGGCTAGCGATTTTTGCAGATTGCTTACGATGCGGCGTGGTACGAATAAATCGCAAATTTTAGTCCACACTTCATAAATCTGAGATTACGCGTTTTTATTGCCCTCAAGCACCCGCTTCGTTCTGTGATCGAGTGTCCTCATCATACAGGCTATGGAATACCATCATTTTTGTTTGGTGATGCCTGCCGTTTGTGAGTGGTGGGGACCTCTAAGCCTTGATAAATGGGAGGAAAGCTCAAACTCCCTGCGAGTTGGGCCATAGGTTATCTACTCATATATCAGCATAAGTTACCTATCATATACAACTCAGCCTTAGCTGAGTTGGGCTATTAGGTTATCAGTTCCGAATGACCATCTTTATTTTTCATTGCCATATCTAGAGGCTGAATAACAGCGCACCTTTAACAACATTCGTCGTGCGCTGATGCCCAGCTCTCATTGGTATCTATGGCCGTTTGCCGCGCGCCCGGAAGTGCTTCGGTACGAGCTCAGCTCGGCGTGTCATTGGCCCTCCCGACGGGGCCAGAGAGATCCGGCACCTGCAGCGGAAGCAGGCGGCTGACACGAGTCGCCATTGGTCGTCTTGCCTGATTGCGGCTGCGGATGATGTGAGAGGGCGCCGGGGAGGAGTCGAACGTGCAGGGCCGGGCACGCCTCACTCGTACGCCGGCAGCGGCCAGGACGCCCCGACCATGGCCTGCCAGCCACAGACTGGCGGCAGCGCCCAGTGGTGAGTGCTCGGCCTGACTATTCGGGCTGTCGGTGTATTCGCAGGCGTTCTGGTGCATGACGCTGAATGATTTTGTTGAGAAACAGGGAGACTCGTTCGAGAGCTAGTGAATGTACTGCTATCCTTTGCCCGCTAAGGGGCCATCTATATGTTACCCCGCACCAGGCTGAGTGGAGATCTGGCATTTTGTGTTTGGGCATTTGGACCCTACCCACGTTTTTGCGAATAACCAAAACAAATGAAAGGGCAGGCGGCGCTGAAATTTGAAGCATCTGTTCTTTGGTCTTTTAACATCTTTCAAAATTTGGACTTAAACATACGAGGTCCTTGGCCCAGCCTTTAGGTTTAAGATGAGTACAGCTATCCTCTGTCCTACTTAGAAACGATGTTTTGAATTATACCGCTATCATGCGTATTTCGGGTGGTAGATTGCCAAACTGCTTTGGCAGAGGAGACGAGCGACGTTCTTCAAGGCGATGTTCAAATAGACGAAAGGCGAACAGAACATTACGCCTTTCATGCAATCATAATACTCCTTGCTATTGCTGGAGCGGCGTTGACTGACATGCATTGTAAGAAGCTCTCGACAGGTTTTGAGCACGATTTGTCAGCCTGATGAGGCCTGGTACACTGGAATGGAAACCACTTTTTTAGCCAATATGTCAAGCATTGGTCACAGTCACTAAAGGCCTCTCGGTTTCTACCCGCCCATTAGATTGCCCGACTACGTTAACGGAACCGTTTCTACCGCCTCTGAACCAAAAGGCTGCGTACAAAAAGCTGCAGTGTCTCAAGGGGTTCTCAACTCAGTGCTCAGGGTTTCTCAACTACACGGCTAAGCATACAGTCCTGTTGCCACTCCGCTTACTGCTCCTGTGCAGGCTGCTGTCTTTTATGTGGCAGATTGTGCACGCTGCCGTCAACAGCGATACACAGTCAGGAACGGATTTTAAACTGACGCCAATGCTTGCATCACAGCCGAATAGCATGTTTCAGCTGTGGCTCAGGAGCCCTTTTAACACGCAATCATTGTTAGATGGGGACCTGAAGTGGTACCAAACGTGAAGAGCTCAGACAACGGGATAGACGGGAGTGACATCGATAGTTTGTCGAAATTACTGTCAAAATATTTTAGAAATTAGTCCACACACAATTGTGTTGTATTACCACGCACATCATCGTAATTTCGCATTTCCGGTCCATTAGAATTTGGTCCTATGGGACCAAACCCACAAACGTTGACTAAATGACACATGAGAACGAAACAAAAACGCTTTGAAAGTAATATCTACCGGTTATTTGGTAAAACCTGATGAGAAGCAATTCATTTCGCGTCTTGTTTAAGACATCGTTCCCGCATTTTAGAGTAAGATGTCTGCGGCATACCGCGGGGCTAAATAAGATACCAGTATTAATCAACGGTGGCATAAAAAGAGCTAATGCGCCACCAGTCGTGGCCACTCTCATTGCCCGCTGTGACGTCATATACCAGTCTTTGACTATCGTGGAGCGTATTCAGGATAAAGTGCTTCTTCGAGTTATAACGTCGGTACTCGTAGGTCCTTTCATGGTAGTGTATAATTCGACCGGCACCTAAATTGGTCCCGCTGTATTCCAGACACCTAATACTGAAATGCACGGGAATCAAAACAAACAAGAAGCAAAACTCACCACCCTGTCACCATACCTAAAGCCGTCATTTTGAGTTTGTAGATTTGTCATCACTGGACATTCATGAAGTGCCACAAATGCGAAATAACGACAAGTACGTTGTGAGAAAATAGATTTGTCATCACTGGACCAGTTCATAAGTGCCACAAATGCGAAATAACGAGCAAGTACGTTGTGAGAAAATGGAAAGGGATCTGCGCCATCCGGAATGAAAAATTACGGTTATTTTGGCGCCGCTGCTCCGAATAAAAACCTTTGTTTTGCTCCTGCTTATCCAATTATCTTTAGCATCTCGAATTTGGCACCAAACCAGGTCCCTATCTAAACAACGCAAGCATAAAAAGTACTTGTGTGACCTAGCTTAACTAGGAGTACACACAAACGTGACCGAGTTTGACTGATTTTCTGCCACAGAAATTACTTTCTCGCATGTATTCGCAAGCAGGGACATGCACAGATCACGTTGATAGCCGTACGTGTCTGGCCTGCACCGTGAGACACGGCCACATTTACATCTCCTTCCATCCAGTTAAAGATGAAGACCCCTTGTCTAAAGTCGGGGTGAGCCCTCATTAGTGCACAGCAGCAGGGAGGTACAGCATCTGATTGACAACATTACACATGTTATAAGGCTAGCACTATTCGCTCATGGCTACGCCATTTCCAGTTTGTGTGAATTCATCCGTTTGATCTGAAATACATGCATACCGCGCATGTCATTAGGTAACTCAATATGTGTTATCCTAAATCGAATTGCGTACTAAGCCATGCGTGTCACATACCGTGTATGATTAGACGCCAAATAATATGACCTCGCATGTCACTGGGGGAGCGCCGGCTAAGTGAGGCGTTCATAGCTGGCATGCTTTCGGACGGCATATGGGTAGAGGGTGGCGTAAAACTCGCGTGTATTGCCAAGGGTAGGTAAAAATCCTTAAAAAATCGAACCTTATAGAAAATGCGAGTTTTGTGCATACTGGTACTGCATTACGCATATATGCAGTGGTCCGATCACTTCTAAAAAAAGAGGATGGCAAGCCAGAGCACTTAAGCGTGTTGCGCAGGACAAGTCGCAATAGTCCTCTTTTTCACTTTTGTACACGTTTCTTGGTTCTAGTTCTATGATATTTAAGCCGGGAATTGTCCAGGATCCAAAGCATGTCACTTTCCTTTTTTGACAACTGTTCTTTTATTATTTCTTTCGTGGTTTCAAAGGTATTTATTACCACTTCCCCAGCAATCAGTCGCGAAGCGTAGGACTAGGGACTTAGGCGACCATGGTGCACATACAGAGACATTAAAAGTGATAAGCGTTTGCGCACCAAATGTGTACATGTGTGCACAAACCGTAAATGTACATGTGTGCACATACCGTAAATGTACATCTGTATGCGTGGTGATAGCTATGCATCAATCAGTTATATATTGGCGTCGCGCGACTTGAGATGTGTCGCCATGGGCGTCTTTAAAAGGCGAGTTTGAAGCATAACCTGAGTGGTGATTACACAGTTAATACTACGGATTGATTGATTGAAGATTGAATTGAAGATCGGAAGATTGAAGATTGAATATTGTATCACTAGGGAACGTTGTGCTTATGTTTTTACACATAGAGTAAGTTGCTTCGCAAGAAAGCTGAATGCCTTACGATGCGTGGACTGAAGGCGTTCATCTGTACTCTTTCATTTTTTGCCGTGATTGCCACGGATTTAGCCCTTTTGAACAGTGTTTGCTTTGAAACCACTGCCAGCTGGGTTTCGGCTGCTCAGGTGGGAATTATGGATTTACATAGGTAATAGGAATGCCCATTTGTTGTCTAGATGCCAGAAGTCATGGCAATCATATCAGTCCATGATTAACAGTAATCCTGTCAATAACGTACTGCCGATACATTGTATCAGCGATACAGCGTATCCTATGCAAAGCTACACAACATACACCACCCGACATCTTGGAAGAAAGTTTGCACCTCGCTAAGATTCTTAGCTGGAACATGCCGAATGCTTTGTAGTATGTACATGTGTACTTCCCTGTGACTTCATACAGCATTCAGATTTTACTAGTCATACCGTAAGTCCTTAAACACACATTTACACCGATCACCTTAGTTTTCAACGATGTGCAAACATATTTTTCGCGCTCACTCCAAGCCGCGTACACATATGCGGCCGGAAGAACACTGAAAGATAAAGGGAGCTGCTATGCGTCAGCTAAGTGGCACAAGATTGCAGTCCGTCGCATAGGTTTGGAATACATCGCCCTGATACTAGTTGGACATGGTTCAACTCACCCCACTTTCTCCTAAAAGAAGGTAATTTTTCCCATGATCTGATCGCGGTGTTCTCGTGATTGTGTGAAAAATGCAAAATTTCAATCCACTTAATGCAATCAAATCATTTTTTTCACCAGCTGAAATTATCTCCATTTGTGACACAATCATTAGCAAATTACGATGAAATATGTATCAAGGGGGATTATTACCTTTCATCATCATGTTTCTCACAAAGCGCAAAAATAGCTGAGAGCAACCTTGCCATTGCTCATTCAACAAACATATGCAAAGTGCGCTTGCCGAATCCTCCTGATCGCGTGTGCACGTCGAACAATCAAGGTCGAGGTCGAGGGCGTATAGCCTTAATACACGTCATCAATATCGCCCCTCTCTCCCTCCTCTCTCTCTCCTCTCTCTCTCTCTCTCTCTCTCTCTCTCCTCTCTCTCCTCTCTCCTCCTCTCTCTCTCCCTCTCTTCTCTCTCTCCCTCTCTCTCTCCTCCCTTCTCTCTCTCATCTCCTCTCTCTCACTCTCTCTCTCTCCTCCTCTCTCTCTCTCCCCTCCCTCTCTCCTCCTCTCTCAATCTCTCTCTCTCCTCTCTCCTCTCCTCTCTCTCTCTCTCTCTCCTCCTCTCCGCTCCTCTCCTCTCTCTCTCTCTCTCCTCTCACTCCTCCTCTCCTCTCTCTCTCTCTCTCTCTCTCCACTCCCACCAGAGAGGGATCCCTCCTCGCCCTCCGGACACATTGGCATAGCGCTATCGGTGTGATTTCAAAGTCACTCACCTGTGCTCCCCGCCGCAGCCGGCTCTCCCCGACACTTTTCCACACGTGCCGTCAGCCCCGGCCTGGCCCTGACTGGGCTCAGAGCGAAGCAGCGACCCTTGACCCTCCGCTTCCGCGGCCTCCGTCCTCAGTCAACAAGAGCAGATCCTCGCCGACATCTCGGGCCACGCGCGGCCGGGCGAGGTGCTGGCTGTTTGGGGCCGAGCGGTGAGTGGCTGAGCCGGGCGACGAGAACGGCAGACCTCAGGCATGGCCTGACGCTCACTGCCGGACTCTGCAGTCCGTCCATCACGTCGTGTCGCGGATCCGTGCTGTCCAGTGGTGTCTTACATAAGAGACTGAGTGACAAGCAGCTGACCTCCACGTCTTTTTGGATGCATGAGCACAGGTCTTTATGCTCGCTGTTTGCGCACAGCTCCTGCATTATCACAGCTTGTGCAGCGTAGGGTTTGCAATATTACAGTCAGCATGCTGCCAAGGACTGTCTGTGTACACTCGCTTCCATCCTGCCCAGGTTCGGGGAAGACAACGTTGCTGAACGTGCTGTCTGGCCGGCTGAAACCGGACTCGGGAGAGATCCTGCTGAACGGGGAGCCGCTGACGAAGCGACTGAAGCGCAGTGTCTGCTACGTGCTCCAAGAAGACATATTTTTCGCGAACCTCACCCTAAGGCAAACCCTGACGGTAAGAAAGCCGCCTGCGTACTCCGACCACTGCACACTAAAGGGGAGTTGACTTAATCAGCACAGCGTGGGATGCTGTTTTGCTCTGCACTCCTAAAACACTATGCTGATATCAAACCAGATGCACCCCATTCAGTTAAATACAGGTTTGCACAACGCAAGAGAGCAGCATCTGGAGGGTATGTATACATGCTAAATGTCTGACTTTGCTCATGCAATTCCTACCACCATTGCTTCCGTTAGGGCATTGCAGCCAGGCATCACAGCTGATTTTCTCTTACCTCGCCGCCGAATGCCACGGGCTGGCACGAGGCGATGCCACAGAGCGAGGCGATTCGCGTTATTATCCTCGGGCAACACAGCCCATTATCTCATTGGCAATACGGCCCACCATCCGCCGTACGTCCGGCGAGCTTGCGCGGCCTCGCGATCCCCTGCGCTGTGGGTTTATGTCCTGCCGGTCGGAGAGGCAGCGGGGTCGGCACTGACAAACGTCACCATCTGGGCCGCTTCGGATTGGATTGGGGTTTATCAGAGCGCTGACTCACATCAGCCGCGTACGTGCTATCACACGGTAGTTAACCGAAGGTAACCAAGGAAGGCAACACAAAGGTGAAGGAAGACAAAGGGCAAGAAAACAATGCAGCAAGCATCTGCCGCCATTTACATATTCTCGTTTATCCTGCATCCTCCTCGCGACTACCCGTTTATCTGAAGCAAGCTGCGCTGTGCCAGCCATGAGTGGGCTTAAGTACCCCTCGGCGGGGCCCCGTCCGAGCGCCAATCGGGGTCTGGTCGGAAGGGCTCTACCGAGTCAAACCACAACCAAAACACACAGCACGCAACGAAGCGTATACAAGACGAAACGCTCGCGCCGCACACCGATGTGACGCAGCTGCGGCAATCCTGGCAACAAGCCGTGTAGTGAGATCCAAAGCACGCTTGAGCCCAGAGGCTATGCGCCCTAATCCAAAAACAAGACAAGACGAGATCCAGGCAAACGGTCGCGAAAGCCTGTCATGACTTCGCGCACCACCGCTGTCGCTACCGGTCAGGCGACACAGCGGCGTGTGATCTTTCAGACATCTCTAACTTATGGTATAAGAGGCGCTGCATATAATTTGACTTAACATGCGCCCGGGTGGCCGGCTGGATACCCTTCGCTCGGGTGTGGGGTCAATTTGACCCGCTGAGATCTTAGGAAATAAGGGGGCTAGAGAACAAAATGATAGCGCTTGTTGACCTGCATGTGAACTCACTTAGGTAAAAGTTTTAGGTCCCTAGGTCATGACGTTCTGGTCGAATAAGGTCAAACAAGGGTCAAATCAGTGGTTGGTCCTTCAAAGTCCCCAGAACTTAGATGATTGTTCTTAACAAAGTCCATACGCTCATTTAAGGCCGGTAACCTTGTTTGACCATTTGAAGGTCATCGTGACCAAAATTTTACAAGACCGCTTTGGAATGCGCATTTGAATAAGCGACAAAGATTACGCTAGGCGGTATATTTCTTAAAAAAACACGTTGACCTGAGTAATCTGGGCCAGTGACCTATTCTGAACTTAAACAGGTTTATGCAAGATGTAGAAGGCGGTTTCTGTTATCAATAAATTTGAAATGAGCACTAGAATAGAACTACTCACACAGCAAGCCCTAGAGTATAAACAGGTTGGTTCTGACCTTGGTCTGACGTTCATACCTGACCATAGGTCAATTTCACCTGCTCATTTAAGTGTTGTGTTGCCTAAGAGGGTGTCTCAGAGATGTATACTTCATCCAACACTCCGTTGTTGCATGAGATAGAACGATACGCCAAAATTGACTTCGCTGAAACCATAGCCTAACTTTGACCTGTCATAGGTCAGCGACTTCGCAAGGTACATCTATATTTTCAATACGAAACAATCCGCTCTCCAATTATCTACAGCTACGCAAAGTTTGGTGCAGTTACGCCCCGCCGTTCGTAAACCATTTAAAAAACCTTGGGGATGAATTTGAGCACCTCACCCAAGTGCGTGTTAAAATATAAGGAAGCCATTAGTGCAGGTGGGAAATTGAAGCGTTGAAGGGATCGAACGACATTTCTTTATGCTGATCCAGGCATTGTTCGATGCCTGTCGCCGGCAGCTGAAGATAATTTTACCGATCTTTCTGGCTTTTGATCGTGATTCAAAGGTCTCCAATAGTTGAATCTGGTCCACCCATAGCAGACAATAAAGTGCACTTCTGAACTCTACACGGGAAACAGCTACTTGGAAACAAACCATTTTTAGAGCTTTTAATCCGTTCAAATGATGCTACTGTAGTAAACTTTATGTTTTTGCAACCACCACGCAAATTAGCATGACATAAAATGAGTAGCAGTATGTGATTTATGGTCGTTCGGAACGAGAAGATATCGTGACCATGGATAATTTGATCTGTCAGTGACGTTTATTGGCTATATATTCATGTAGTTATAAATTTATCCCGCTTCATTCCTGTCATAAACACTTAACCGTGGCAGGTATGCCACTGAATACTAAAAAAGACCAAGTTTTGAAAGGACAGAATCCAGGTCCGGATTAAGTAGCCAACGGCCGAGAAGAAATCAAGAATGGTGTACGTTAGGTAAATTCATATTCGGGATCGGCCCTATCAAAGAAATTCACCCCTCTCAAAATTCCTTAAAGAAAGACTCTGAGTGGAATGCTCTGTCTGTGTTCCATGTCCTTGAGCCCTGGCCTCCAGGTGAGCAGTGTGCGTGTGTTGCTGTGTGCCGAGCAGTACGTGGCCCAGCTGCGGCTGCCTGAGCGGCTGAGCCGGGCCGAGAGGGAGCGTCATGTCGACCACATCATCAGCAGTCTGGAGCTGGACCAGTGTCAGCACACCCGTGAGTACCGGCGCTGCCCCCTCCCCCTCCTTCATCCCCTCCTCCACGCGTGCTCCCACTGAGGCCGCATGGGATGCTGGGAGCACACCACCTCAGAGGACGGGGCGGGTGCAGGTGGCCCTCTCAGAGCACCGGGCGGGTGAAGGTAACCTCCTCAGAGCACCGGGCGGGTGAAGGTAGCCTCCTCAGAGGACCGGGCGGGTGCAGGTGGCCTTCTCAGAGGACCGGGCGGGTGCAGGTGGCCACCTCAGAGGACCGAGCGGGTGAAGGTAGGCTCCTCAAAGGACCTGGCGGGTGCAGATGGCCTCCTCAGAGGACCGGGCGGGTGCAGGTGGCCACCTCAGAGGACCGGGGCGGGCACAGGTGGCCCGCTCAGAGGATCGGGTGGGTGCAAATGACCTCCTTAGAGGACCGGATTGAGTACAGGTGGCCTCCTCAGAAGACCGGAGCTGGTGCAGGTGGCCAATTCAGAGTAAGCATCAGAACATATCGGACAGATGTACACTTATCTCTGCTAGAATGGAATCTAGTTGAGGAAAACCTTTAACAGCGTACCTATGATCCCATGGAATGACTGCACTGGTCTTGAAAACAGGTGACAAGCGGACCATCGCATTTACATGGCAAAAGTCGCGTAAGAGATTTGGATGGAAGAAGAGGGATTTTTTTGCATGTACCTTTGTCTTGTGTTTAGCAAATTGTGTGACGAAAAAGGCCCCCATTATGAAAGCTTAGTAAAGGTTAAGTATTACATGCATGCTAATGGTCTCTATTCGTGATAACAAAAGAAGCCTTCATATTTGTGCTGACAAGACTGTGACACACTTCACCTGTAACTTTCAGAAATAGGGGAGTACATGAAAGGCGGCCTGTCCGGAGGCGAGAAGAAGAGAGCCAACATCGGCTGTGAACTGCTAACTAATCCATCTATCATGCTCCTCGATGTGAGTTTAATGAGCAATGATGCGCCGAACTCAGAAACCGTAAGCACAACAATGATAACTCATGGCTAGATATTCACATTACTGCGGACTGGCAGGCGAGGCCCTATATGTCGCAGCAGTGTACTGGAGGCGATAACGAGTAACTCATACACTGTCTGTGCCGGTGAGATCTTCCTTGACCCCTCCGAGCACGCGCTCCCGCCCTGACCTCTTCCTTCGAGCCATGAGCGCGTGCCAGTGACATTCCCCTCAGCGGGACCAGCGCGCTGCCTAATGCCGGCGCTCTCCTGACCGGCGGCACGACCCAACAGGAACCGAGCACCGGCCTGGACTCGAGCGCCACCTACAGCCTGATCCGAAACCTCAAGGACTACGCCGTCAAGGAGCGCAAGACGATCGTGCTCACCGTCCACCAGCCTTCTTCGCAGGTGTTCCACACGTTCGACAAGCTGCTGCTCCTCTGCGACGGGCAGGTGGGCACTGTTGGTGGTAATACAAATGATGGTCAGCTGGCGTCCGCACCGAGCTCACTTCGCACAGCATACCAGTTTTACAACGCGGCTGTGAGGATATGTTCAGCACCCTGGTCTTACTCAGGAGAGCTCTGCACCGCTCGTTACCAGTCCAAGGTCGGCAACAGCAGACCTGCGAGTTGTTGCCCATTTTCGTCGCCTCACTGTTAGGGGGTTCATTTCAAGCGGGACCGCCACATAGCCAGGGCCGACCCATTAGCAGACGCCAGTGAATGACCAGGCGAACTGCTCGGCGTACCGGACGGACCTGGCCGGCCTTCAGCCTTAGGTCTGATGACGAGGTGTCTGTCCCCGTGTCACGTGACGACGAGCCCAGCGCCTCCGACTCGGACGTCACCAGCCTGCGACGCTCACTCGCTCACAGATGGCCTACTTCGGCGAGGCTGTCGACGTGGTGAACCACTTCGGCAGTCTTGGTCTGTTCATCCAGCGCCACTACAACCCCGCCGACTTTGCCAGTGAGTGCAGCGCCGCGGTGGCGCGCTCTGCTCGGTAGCCTGAGGCGCCGATAGTCACCGAACTCGTGCTCCCCAGATGGATGAGCCCTGCTGCTGCTGGCGATTGCTGTTTAAACACGTGTGTCGACTTAATGCTGGGATTCGGAAAGAAAGGCTGCCTTTAAGGCATGGTGCGGCTCGAGAGAACCTCCTGTGATGTGCCCAGCTGCCCGGCAGGTGGCGAAATGTCACATTAGGCAGAGCCGGAGCGCGATTCAGCGCCAGGGCCATCGAGATAGACCCTGGACATTGTCTTCAGATGGTCTGTCTGCTTCCAGTTTAGGCTAACGGCCCGATTTGCTCATTGTGGATGTCCGCAGCTAGTCTGTCGGCTGAGGTGCTGTAACTGATGGTTTATAAGTTTCAGATTGAAACCCCTTAGAGCTTGCATAGCTACACACTCCACTTACACACTCCACTGAACATTTTAAGATATTAAGACATATTGTACTGCAAGTCCTGAAGGAAGGAGCCATTATTGATGCGTTTTATAATTGGGTACAGTTTACCACCACGGCGACTTGCAACCAATGTTGGGTTGGTGTTTGGCTCATCGTATGAGTCGCATAATTACCGTCTGACTGCCTAGCGTCTGATGTGGATGTAACCTATGGCACAGCGAACCCTAGCTTCTGATCTGATGTTCCCCAGTGGAGCAGGTGAAGCCGTCATCACCCAGTCGACAGCTGGTGTTATCGGCGGCGGCGGCGGCGGCGGCGGCAGAGACTCGTCTGCTCACCCGGCCAGAGACGCCCTACTCCAGCACGGACAGCCTGAGGTCCGGGGGGTCCGTGGACTCTGGTGAGCGGCCACCTCCTGACGCACTGCGGTCCTGGGGTCCTAGTGAGCGGCCACCTCCTGACACACTGCGGTCCCGGGACTCTGGCGAGCGTCCACCTCCTGACTCGCCACGGTCCCGAGACTCTGGTGAGTGGCCACCTCCTGACACAATGCGGTCCCCGGACTCTGGTGAGCGCCATCTCCTGACATACTGCGGCCCCGGTTTTGGTGAGCGGCCACCTCCTGACACACTGCGGTCCCGGGTCTCTGGTGAGCGGCCACATCCTGACTCCCCGCGGTCCCAGGACTCTAGTGAGCAGCCACCTCCTGACACACTGCAGTCCCGGGACTCTGGTGAGCGGCCACCTCCTGACACACTGCGGTCCCAGAACTCCGGTGAGCGGCCACCTCCTGACTCGCCGCGGTCCCGGGACTCTGGTGAGCGGCCACCTCCTGACACACCACGGTCCCGGGGCTCTAGTCAGCGGCCACCTCCTGACACACTACAGTCCCGGGACTCTGGTGAGCGGCCACCTCCTGACACACCACGGTCCCGGGGCTCTAGTCAGCGGCCACCTCCTGACACACTGCAGTCCCGGGACTCTGGTGAGCGGCCACCTCCTGACACACTGTGGTCCCGGGGTTCCGGTGAGCGGCCACCTCCTGACACACTGTGGTCCCGGGGTTCCGGTGAGCGGCCACCTCCTGACACACTGCGGTCCTGGGGCTCTAGTGAGCGACCATCTCCTGACACACTGCAGTCCCGGGACTCTGGTGAGCGGCCACCTCCTGACTCGCCGCGTTCGCGGGGTTCTGGTAAGCGGCGACCTCCTGACACTTCCTGTCGCTGCTGTGATGACGTCACACGGTGCACCGCCCGCACAGCGTGCCCATGAGGTTTGCACGTAGATTGCAACGTGTTTTATATCAGCTGTCATATATGGATTCATACGCCCGTTTCAGATAGCCTGTATACACTTGTGTATGGTTTGCAAGCGGCTCATGTTTGTGCATGAGTTTACTCGATTCAAACATATCCGTTGAAGTCGTTCGCCACGCTCCACAAGACAAGTGTTTTGTGTCGTTGGTCCGGTACCGTTGTGTGAGACGAGCGCTCCATCACCGGACAGAGGGGAATGGGCGGAACATCTCGCGGCTGTGAGCGGAGTCCGTGCCGGTCATGCAGCACCGCCCGCGACACCAGGTCCGTGCCGCTTGTGACACGACGCTCTTCATTACCGGGCAGAGGGGGAACGGGCGGGACATCTGCGGCTGTGAACGGAGTCCGTGCCGATCAGGCAGCCCCGCCCACGACCCAGGTGACGTCCGGGGACGCTGCGGCCACGGCGCGTCACGGCAGGCGGCGTACCACCTGCATATCGTCATCGAGCCGAAATGTTGGAGGCCTGAAGCCAGGTGATCAGTCTAGGCACTGATCCAGGTGTCTAGACAGGGGCTTTCGACTCGTGCGTACGGCAGCTGGGCACATGTTGTACGCGGATATCGAAGAGGGAAGATACGAAATGGAGCATTTTGCTAGGCAAATATCGGCCATAGATGGAGTGACAATAGGCTCATTAGGGATGGGAGCCCTTATCAAGGATTGGACATATGACATTCATGCGTCATCTTTGATTCGGATGTCTATGTCACCGGGACTGTAAACGTGGTCAGAATCAGCAGCGTTGAAAATGCATACCACCAAACATCGTAGCTTTACAAACATAGCGACCTGGCCAAAGACCGTAATCAGCCACACACCTAGAGGACCAAACGTGACAAAGCTGGAGCTTCCACGATAACAAGGCCAAGACATAAGTCAAGTCGTGATAAAGTGCCGATTTTGTTTGGTGAATCGAGCGAGGTCGTGACACAGAGCGTTTGGCAGGAGCAGGAAGCGACGTCGACAGCGGCACCTCCAGCTGGTCGAACGTCACCCAGAGTCAAGCAAGGGGTGGAGAAGCTCGACCCCCGACCGCTGGCCGACCAGCTTCTGGACACAGCTGAAGGTAGGCGCGGTTTGGGGGTCATGTCATGTCTGGTGGATGGCCTGGCGGGCCCAGCAAGTGGATGGAACTGATATATGTATTGTGGTGAGAGATACTTGCGTATATCGGAGTCATGCTTAAACATTCGTCGTTGAACAGGACTCAGCTTCACATGCATTTTCAACCGGCGGCCTGCATTCTCATTAGAGGAACCTTTTCGCCAATGAAAGTCGCTTAAAGCATTTGAGTGCCATCACGTTCTCTGTTGACTAGAATCTCACATTTAACAAGGCCGTGCATTGAATTGGAATCACCCAGTAACTCTGGATGACTGAGATTCGGAGTCGGTAAGTAGCGATAGAGTTTTTGGTGACGGTACTCCTGCCCACTTACGCTTCGCTGTTGCATGACGTTCTAGGTGTTGAACCGCCCTCACCTGACCTGAGATGACCATGACCCGAACCCTCGGCGTGAGTTGACCTGACTGATAACCGTGAATGGCCTGACTGATACCTTGACCTGATCTGACTGATACCGTGCCCGTGGCTTGACTATGCGGTGACTTATGTCAATCCTAACCGTTCCACTATAAAATATTTTTCCGTGCCCAGACATTCTCCGCCGTCCTGCCCTGCTGACGCCTGCCCTGTCCTGCCCTGACTGTCCGCAGCCGCAGCCCCGACTGGTCTAACCTTGGTCTGACCTTGGGCTGACCTGACCTGCAGTGACTTGATGTGACCTGACACTGACTTGACGGTCCGGCAGGTGCTGACAGCGCGGAACGTTCACGAGGCGCGGCCACGCGTGCTGAGCCAGCTGAACCTGTTGCTGACGGTGGTGCTGGCGCTGCTGGCCGGCCTGGTCTGGCTGCGCAACCGAACGCTCCGAACATGCTATCGCTGACTTCCAGGGCTGGATCTTCTTCTCTCCACCAACTACTGGATGCTCTTCTCACTGTTTGGTGCACTCTTTGCCTGTAAGTGGGCTTCGGTTCACGTATTACATAAATGCGTGATTGACATCTGTTTTTTCGACCAAGAGTTATTGCCATGGGTGCTATAAAACTCGATGACAACTGAGCACTGTAGACGAATGCGTGTTGATTCAGCATTCCCTTACTGAGGGCCTACTGAGGTATTCCATTACCGCGCCGCATCATTTTCATGCTACGTTTCAGATATCCAAAGTGTAAAGTAAGCAAACCAGACACTTCGGGCCGTTTCCACATTTTCTACGAAATGCTGCAGAGAACTTTCCACAAGCTCGTGCCGTTGATACTATTCAGTGGCAACATGACAGACCCACTGCTATATTGGTTGATGTCAAAAACGATGTTTGCATGCCGAATGAACTCGCCATCCCGATTTAATCATAGACAACACATCGCCTCGCTTGCATACCAAGTTAGGCCATCATGTTGTCTTGTCATGACATGACTTGTCATGTCATCTTGACTATCATATTTCCCATGTTGCCCGAATGTGCCGTTGCCTGCCGGGCCCGTGCTGCCCTCCGCTGCGGTCGCCGCCTGGCTATCACTGCCGCCTGATAACGTGCCGTGGGCGCCAGTGCCCTCGCAGCAGAAAGTGGTGAACAAGGAGCGGGCGTCTGGGGCGTACCGGCTGTCGGCCTTTTACCTGGCACGGCTGGCTGGCGAGCTGCCGCTGCTGCTGGCGCCACCTGCCCTCTACTTCGTCATCTCCTACCCCATGCTGGGCGCCAGTTCGCCGCTCACGTTCGGTCTTCTTCTTCTGCTCCTGCTGCTCAACAGTGTGGTGGCAGAGGTGAGACCGCCGCCCTCGCTCCAAAATGCTAGGTCGAGCAGCGACTGGTCTGAGCGCGTTATTGGTTACGGCGCGTGTGTTTCAGCGGGTGATCTGGATTCAGCGGGTGGTGGTGTATGCCCGGCGTTAGTTGGTGCAGTAGTTTGTCTGGATTATGCTGATACCAAACCGGACATATTAAACTAGGTCTATTAATACTGACGCCGACGTCTTTATAACATTCCGAGGCTGCTTTCGGGCCAGCAGCCCCGTGTCAGCAGCTAGGGGCGTAATTTCATGAAATGAGTTTGTGGGAGGGGTGGGGGGGGGGGAGGGGGAGGGGGGGAGGGGGGGGGAGGGGGAGGGGAAGGGGGAGGGGGAGGGGGGAAGGGGAGGGGGGGAAGGGGGGAGGGGGGGGGGGGCTGAACACTGGAAAATGTAGTCTTCCCCAAAATATGCCAACGAAGAGGTTTCTCCCTAGATTTAAGCCTACTTTCTTGCCAAAGTTGGGGGCTGGAGGCCAAGTTGAGTGGGAAGGGGGAGGGGCTGAATCCCCCAGCTCAATGCAAACTACGACAGACGCCTGCAATCCCTCGTTGGTTTTTACTTAACGCATGTATTGGGTTTCACCTGGTGTGTACCGACATTGCGATGGCCATGCGCAGCGAGGTAACAAGCAGCTGCACACCCCACGACGTCCCCTCCCCCCCCCAGACGGTTCCTGTCCCGGCTCAGACCCGCTCCCCCCTCTCTCTCTGGTCCCGCAGAGCGTGGGTTTATTTGTTGGCGTAGCCTGCATGGACCTCCAGGTGGGCAACACGGTGGGCGCCATCTTCACGTGCGGTGCCCAGCTGTTCAGCGGCTTCCTTTCCACGCACATCCCCGGCTGGCTCGGCTGGATGCGCTACCTGTCTGTGGTCTTCTACGCCTACCAGAACATGCATATCGTCGAGTTCGGCAGTGGCGCGCCGTTCAGTACGAGCGCCGTGCTAGCACTGCGCTTCTGTTGACGTGGTAAGCTTGCTGAACTTGCTTACGCGGCAAAGGCCGACAAGGATCTTGTTCTGCTCAGTGCTCTGCTCAGTGCGAGTGCACTCAAGTTTGTGCGTGACATCAAAGCCCATCAAGACATTAAATGTCGTCTCGGTTTGTTCATGTTCTTGACCAGCCCGCGCCCTGGTTGGTCTGCATATCGACGGCAGCAGGTCCTCTCATACTGTGAGACAGACGGGCCTGCCCACATGTACTACGCATGTGCGTAATACTGTACGTACATCCATAGCCTCCACGTTCCTAGTCAATTTTTCTGTTCCCTAGATGCGCGTCGGAGAACTCTAAGTTCCAGGCCTGCGCGACAGGCGGCGCTACCTTCATCCCAGTGGAGGACCTGCTGGCGCATCGCGGCGGCCACTTGCCATTCTGGGCTAACCTGCTTGCGCTAGTCGCTTTTATGGTTCTGTTCCGTGTGCTGGGATACGTGGGGCTGCGCTGCTTCCGTGTCCCGACACACTAGGGTCGACGGTGAGCATTGGCGCGCTCTGTCCGAGGGAGAGCGTCGATCTCACGGTCGGTCTTCCGCCGCCGCACCGCCCAGGTCGCTGGGGCGCCTGACAGCCTCGAGCATGGCTGCAGTCACGGCCGCGACATGGGCGCATACGGCACGTCATCCCGCAGCATAGCCCGTGCCCCCTGGCGGGTCAAGGACCTGGTCTCGGCAGGATAACGATGGGAGCGGGATTAGTGATGACGTAGACAGTGGCGACGTGAAGATTGCGGTAGGCAAAAAGTCAGAGCACGCCTGATTGTAGGGAGTGGTTCCCGACCCCGTTTCTTGCTTTGCACCCATTGCATGAGGCGCTTATGTTGTGTTAAGTCGTGGTTCCTGATAAGACTACGCTTCTGTATGCGACCAAGTGTTTGTATTCACCCCAACTGGTGTCCGAAGACTACTGGATATGTGCGTACAAGTACAGCCGTCTGTGTGCGAGAGCTTACGGCTTTAACGTTCCTGTTGTATGACACTTATTACTGTAAGACTTTGCATTAGGACGTTTTTGAGATACATGTGCGATTACGATCGTGCAAGTTGGCCAGATGATTTGAAATCTACTGGAGAGGGGCATGGGCCCATCTGAATTTGCATCGATGATTTGTTAAGTGTCGCGTAGGCAATCAGATGCTATGTACCAAATGTCATCGACCGTCCTCAGTGTTACTCACTTTCAGAAAGATGTTCATGAACTCGTGCCTGCGCTTCCAAACATAGGCCACAAATACATATTTGCACAACTGTATCTCGGTTTTTTATTCACCTTTTCTGGGGAGGTCGGGCTGATGGCAAAAAAGTGGGAAGCATATGTGATAGTGGAGATACGATACCAGCAGCCCCGCCCCATGGCGAGGCCGTTACGGTCTTGAACCAACCTCGTCCATCGTCAACCGGCCCATCCATCACTCAAGCGCACAAAACATGTATCCAGATAAATTCGAAATATTATATTAGAACTAAATGGGAAATTATGTATTTTACGTCCCGGTTTGAGCAGTCTTTTTTTTCTTAAAGAGTGGGATAGGCTCTGGCGTAGTAATACCGTTTCAATTATAATGCGATTAATCCTAACTTAACCTTATCTCCCGTCCCAACCAAAGCACAAGTCGAGAGCATTGACACCAACGACAGATTACTTCTGCGGATCTGACTTTCAGACCTCGATGCGCCGACATTTAAACATCATTTAAGTTTTTTACATATATTTAGAGTCATATCCACTGCAAAGGTTCTTTAACTTTGTAGGGTCCAAGGTCATGCTAACCTAACGCTCTAAATGATGTTCGAAAACGAAGTTGGATGGATTGGGTCAAGTCAGGTGATGACAAGTAAGTTCCGGTCATATGACATGACGTCTAAATATTTATGTCAAGCATGACAATTAATGCCGCATGATAACGTGGTGCCAAGAACAACAGGCAAAATGACTTCGATCTATCATGCCCTGACGTCCATGGCTTTCAGTCAGCTGCACCTTTGAAGCCCTTCTAACACCAACTTATGTTGCAACGCAAGAGAAGTGCCGCAAACCACATCTGTATCCAAAGAACATGAGCAAGAAATATAGACGTTGACTGAGATAAAATTGATGTTCCCGATTACGCCATGAATTTTGGAAGTCAGAATGCTTGCAATACATGAAGCTCACCAAAGCAATAGGTAAGGCAAACTTCATTATTTTTAACACATATCTCATAATGTAGGTATTGACTTCATGTGAGCGAAGACAAACAAAGCGAACAAATAACACACATTTTAACCAGATGGCGGTGTTAACCTCCCGCAACTGTAAAACCACAGGTCCTGCGTTTGCTCTGTCACGCGCTGTTCCACTTTCTATGCTTGCCTCTTAAAAAGGCAAAATAGAGACCAATGTCACTTATCGAAATTTTGCGCAGGGAGCCCAAGATATGGATGGACCAGTTTAGGGCCTCAAGCCACTAATACGCCCATTCATGATCCAAGATTTCTTTGGGGTCAAGGGGTTTCCAGTGGCCCTTACAAAATGGAAGGTGCCAGCCCCGAGGAACAAATGGAAGTTGAAAACGTGGGGCGGACCATTAGCTTTCAGTCTATGCTTGCCCTCAACGAGCTAAGACAGCAAAATCTGCTTTGCGACGCCATAATTCGGTTAGAAGATGGCAGCGCTTTCTCAATACATCGTGCCATCATGTCGGCATGTAGTCCGTATTTCAGGTAAGTCAACCCTAGCTGAAACCTATGCCAAATGAGATAAAACAACGCTTAACACATTTCTGTAATCCTCCATCTAATCCCATCCATTGCTACTAGTGTAACAGTTATTGCATATGCATGGAAAGCATCGTCATCACCAAAACCGGCATGGCACCATTGTCAGTAGGCATCAGTAGCCCAGCGCTGCTGTTCGTACTGTCTGGTATCAGCAGCGCATTATTCGATGATACTCCATGTAAATCTATTTTCACTTTATGTTGCATGCATGCATCACCTAAAAAAATACAGTGCACTGTGCCTAAGCATTTCCTCCCTGTTAAGTAATCCGATGTACTTAACAAGTGAAGCCTTTCGCGACCACCTGCAAAGCAAAGAGAAATTGCATTATTTATTTATTGCATTTATATATTGCATTATAAGCAAATTGGGCGAGCGTTCTTCACTGAGGTGATGTTCAGATGCAAGGCACTATGCACCTGCATAGGCATGAAAGCTTGACTGGACATCGGGTCAGGATAAAGTGATGGAATTGCTAAACATTCACATGACCATTTGTTCTTTGTCCTTTTGCTCTACCAACTCACTCGAAATGACATCCACTGCAGACCCCGGCGGAGCAACAACATGTATGAAACGCTTTCGTCTTGGAGTGATATTTTAAACTTAATTGACAAGCCGCAGTGTAGTGAGCGGTGCGTCCTGTAACTTCACAAATCATGTTTCAGGGCTCTTTTCACCACCTCCCTCCATCAAAACGAACGAACCGATGTCCTCATTCGAGATGTTTCGTCTGAGGCCATGCGGCTCGTTATCGAATACGCCTACACACGAAACACTTTGGTCGACTCCGAGAATGTGGAAATGTTGCTGCGAACTGCCGACTACTTCAACATCGAAGGCATGCTGAAGGACACCTGTAACTTCCTAATGATGGAAGTAGGACCCAGGAACTGCTTCGGAATACGGAAGTTTGCAAGGTATGGATTGAGTCCTCACATCCTTCATGGGGCAAAGCAGACTGGATGCCCCGCACTGGACACCATTTTTGAGACGCTGCAAGACACGGATGGAATAATTGTTCAGACCATCGTCCTCGTCTGCTGTGCCAGAATGTATACAACGCTCCGACAAGTTAACTCTCGGAGTGCGCCAAGTGTAATATAGTGCTGATAGGGACCGGATTATGTTTGGCCTTCAGCCATGTGCGTGTCACGCCCCCAATTTTCTCTTTGAAATTGCCGGTATTCGAACCAAGGTTTTCTGATTGTGAGATCAGTGATCTATCAACAGAGCCAACGGAGATAGCCGGGAAGGGCATCCCGCTTGGAACTATCTGCGAAGGGCACTGGACTAATGATCATAAGACTGTGGTTCAAATCCCATCAATTCCATGAACATAATTCTGGCTGTGCCACGTACATGGCTAAAAGTTAAACATAATCCAGTATATATCAGGACTCCATAACAACTGACGACGCCCGGAGAGTCAATTGGGCGAAACGTGTGCATACTAACATATTGGATGGGCGATGGTTTGAAGCATTTGTCTCATCTATGATGCTAATAACTTTCAACAATCCCTCTGTAAACCTATACAGAAAGACGGTGAGCGACGCCAGGGACGTCACTTTACATACTTTCGGGGTGGGGGGGGGGGGGAAGAGGCCGAGCCCCCAATGCTTCATACCCCCATGCTCCTCTGAGCTTCATCAATGCATATGAGCAAAAATGGAATAATGGGCCAAATAAATACAGAGTAATGACCTTTAACTATGGGCATGCCAGGTAGTATGTACATAAGCACATCACTCTTAGTATTATGCTCATTTTGTACCAAATAGTGGCCTACAGATACCAAATGATGTCACGCTTACTACTTCATTTCTTAAAGCACCCTGCAAACGTTTGGCAAGTTTTTCAAATGATAATGCCTAGAATGGTGTAAAGAACAATTGACTGCAATATACGGGAGCATTTAAAAGTACAGGGTGACCCAAATACAACTAAATACGTATTTTCCCCTTCAGTGGCAAATGCACTGGTTGCGTGTTGCATGACTGTGGTGGTTGTATAGCACGATCAGCGGCGGCAGTAATCATCAATGATCCCTTACTTCGACACACTCAGCGTCTTATTTCCTAGGACTCACACCATTTCAAACTTTTCACAAAAGGGCAGTTCACATTACAGGAAATGTTCCACATTTAAAGACGTTGAAGCAAGTATCAGACACGCTGAAATAAGCTCGCTTATAATTATTGTTATACTTTTAGGTTAAAAGACTGCTCTAGACCGCACTCCTTCTCCGTTGAGTCAATATGTTCCTCAATGTGACATTGATTGCGTGGTCGTACCCTGCACAACATTGATTGACGGTCAATTGACGGCCGTTATATCCCGAAATCGTGTTCATAAAAGCCAGATACAAACGACTCGACAAATATGATTTTACTGCTCTTAATCACCACATGACTAATGGAATGGCAGGATTTGAATGACGTTATTACGGCGTCATGGGTGCATGAGTGACCTTGAAATATTCTCCCCAGGTAGTCTGCACATCTGCACGGGCGTGCAACTCAGAGACAGTATAGTACACAACATTTAATGATATCCACGAGCACACAAGACGCTAATGGCAGTTCGGTGGCCCTTTCTATGTCGAGCCAGCTTCATGACTTGCGATGACACTGTTTGGCACTATGTCGGTCCTTTCTCGTGTTATGCACTGAATGGTGTTTAGACCGTGATTTTGTGTAAATTTGTGTGTGTTTGAGTGTTTTATGTTTTGTGCCGTTTTATGGTCTGGGAAGTTGTGTTGATCCTACTTAACGTTTCCAAGCATTGAGGTTGATATGACCAGAAGGGTCACCTGCTGAGCCCAGCATAGTAATCCGAACACCGTTGAATTCAGTAGGCACTACAGCACCCTCTGATGTTTAACAGACGTACCTGGCTGTGACTATAATTTAATTTGAGGCCAGATGGTGCTGGTGGGGTGGGGTGGGGGAGGGCATTCCACCATTCCGCCATCAAAGACGAGGTTATTTAGCACCGCGAATATTCATGAATGATAAGTGAATGAAAACTCTGAGTTCACTTCAACCTGTTTCAGCTTCTACAACTGCGCAGAACTGGAAAACGAAATTCATAATTACATCATGCGATACTTTGTTGACATTGCTCACGCCAATGATAACGAAGAGTTGTTAAATCTACCTCCGGATGAAATGTGTGCTATTCTTGGTGCTGACAATCTAAACGTCAAAAATGAAGAAGTGGTATGGGAAACAA